AAATGCAGCATTCTTATCTATTATTATTTTTTGACCATTCATAACAATATGTACAATACACATTCAGAATTCAAATATCCACAGGATTCGAACATTAGCAATACTTTGCGCGTGTATAAGTGATTCACTTACATATTTTCATTCCTATAGATTATACTATAAGAAATCATCTAAAATCAGGAAGAGCCAGTCTGAGAATAAAAATATATATCTCCTTTTATCAAAGAATTACTACGAACACGAATATACACAATTACGAGTACATAATTACGGATTCATACAGATTTCATACAGATTTTGTACAAAGCGTTAATAAATACGCTTCATTTACGTATTAAAGAATAAAATGGAAGATCTAGATCTTGTCTTCAGTTCTCATCAATCAGAAGTTATATTCTCCAAATGAGAAGCTTGTGATAATTCTTTGTTTACAGTTTTTTGCTCCATTGTACATATTGATTTATCGGCATCCGTTTTATTGCTAGTGATATCCGCACTTTTTGACCAGGAGCAACTTCTTCTACCGGGAGATTTGGGCATAGACCATGTACTACTACGAGACCTTCTCTTAGGAGATCCGCTGCGAGATTTAGCTCTTGTTACCTTCACCTTTGATGCTGATCTTTCGCGCCTACGTCGATAGCGATGTTTGCTATTGTTCCAAGAATTAGAACGACTTCTCGAACGAGTTCTTTTTTTTGATCTTGATCGTCGTGATCGAGACCTCATTCTTGTTGTAGATTTCGATCTTGATTTTGATCTTCCTCGTCGTTTTTTTGAACGTGATCTACTTTTGCTTCTACTTCGTCTTCTACTTCGAGATCTCGATCTAGTTTTTAATTCGATCTTGATCGTGATTTTGATTTCGATTTGTCTCGTGATTTAGATCTTGATTTCGAACGAGACCTTGATCTCGTGGATTTCGATCGTGATTTTGATCTTGATCTAGATCTCGATCTTGATCTTGATCTCGACCTACTACGACTTCGTGACCGTGAGCTTCTATAATCGAAAGCACGATAATCCTGACCTACTAAATGAGCAAAGTACTTGTAATACTGCTCGTTATACAAATGAGGGTTAAACGTATGTAATGTACGATGATTTGCAGCATTACGCCATGAAAATCCTCTACCTCTTCCTCGTAAGAAACGACCACTCCTAGGCATACCTCTTGGCAAACTAGGGTAAATCATAGGTAAAGTAGCATCGTAATACCATGGTTGTGGAAAACGTGGATAAAGCGGTGGATAAGAAAGGGGTTCTAAAGGTGCAGGTGCTGAAAAAGATAAAATAATATAAATATATTTAGTATAAATTCGTATAATTTTCAGCTTATACTCACCTGTTGATGATGATGGATATGTAATATTTTGTTTTAAAACACTTTTCAACTTTTTTGTTTGCTCCTCACCTGATTCTTCACTTTGGCTTACAGAATTTTCAGAATTTTTTCCCTTTTTTCGTTTCTTCTATAAAAAAAAGAAGAAAAAGAAAATGAAATTGTTCAATATAAATAAGTAAAAAAAAAATTAGAAAACAATACAATAAATAGATACTTTTTTCTTTTTTTCTTTTTTAGATTTTTTCTTTTTTAATTTTTTAATTTTCTTATCTTTTTTTCCATCCTTTGAATCTTCTTCTGAACTTAATATTTCAATTGTACCATCTACTTTATTATTCTTTTTCTCTTCTTTTTTTGTATCTATGTTTGTTACTTCATCTATATTAATTTCATTATTCTCCACTTTTATCTTAATACAAAAAATAATTTTAGTCAAGTTTATTATTATAAAAAAAATGATAAAATTTCTGTTAATATTTACCTTTATTCTATCAAATAATTCATCTAAAAGACGAATACTTTCAAGCTGTCTTTGTGCTTTTATTAATTTTTGTCCTTCTCTAGCAATTTTCATAGACACTTTATCTTCTTCTTTCTTTCGAAATATAGTTATAGCTTTACGTTTTCGTTTCTCTTCTCGTTTTTTTCGTCTATTTTCTTTAGCTATTGCTTCAGCCTCTTCTTTCTTCCTAATAAAAATAATGTACAAATTATTATATATACTTGAAATTATATTTATGAATATATAGATATTATTGCTAATTACTTTAGTTCTTCGCGACGTTTCTCTTCAGCTTCTTCTTTCCTACGTAATCGTTCTGCTGCTAATGTATCCTGTGCTATAAGGCGTTTTCTTTCAAATTCTCTATGTGCTACAGTACTATCACTCATATGTTTTGTTTTATCAAACGTAATCTGCATAATACAATTAAAACAATGATTTTTAATTTAATATTAAACTAGTAAATTAAATTAATATTAAACTAGTAAATTAAATTGGATCAAAATTCTTATCGAAATCGCACCTTAATAGCGGCCGTAAATGCTTTATCTCCTTCTTTTCTAAGAAGTTTCATACCACGCAATGCATCCATAGCCCTAACAAAATCCATATATTCAACATATTGAATATAAGCATCAAAAAATATGCCATCTTCATAACTAAATTTATTTATATTTGTGCCCAGACGCATTCTAGATCTATAGGGATCAGCAGCAGGTACATCTATTCTTCTGAGTATTCCCCATTTTCTAAATATTTTGTTAATCAAGGATTCACTAGGCATTGTTGCTCCATCCTCAGTGAACCATTTAACAGGCAAACCTGTTATATGTATAGTATCAGGCCTTTCTCCAGGCTTTAATTCATTCATATGTTTAGCATCTCTGAAATATGAATCCCAGCTATGTCTTGTAGGAAAATCATCCTTTGCTTCTGCTGCACGGACTTTTAATACATTGGGAAATCCAGATAAATTTAAACGTTGAGAGTCTAATCTTGCAAGTACACGCTGCAATCTGCATCTGTCTTGCAAGTCTCCTTCCAATCTGATAAATTCCAATGTACTCTTGGCTACCTTCAGAGATGCAAACTCGTCTGGTAGTATAAAGGCACGTATCTTCTCCATTACTTCCCATGTTGATATTGTTTTTCCTGTTTATATCGCAGTTAATTTTCTGTAAAAACCTACTATGCTAAAAATATTGTGTATAATTATAGATTTGCACACAATTTAAAACAATAATGATGTTTCCTGTCACAGAAATCAATATTATTAATAAATGCATTTGCCATTAACCTAAAAGAATTATGAGGTTAAAATATGCAAATGTGATCTCGAAAAATAATTTATATATAAAAAGAAATTATAGTAGAAGTATATATAGATGAAACATTTGACGAAAATTCAATAAAGAATTATAAACAAATTTAGATACAAACGTAAATATAACTTTTATATTAAATAAAAATGCAAATGAAAATAGAATATATATCATTTTTGACCATTTTACCTGGAACTTTCAGTTGAGGAAGATTAACAGAAACATTTATCTTTGCAACTGGCTTTAAGTAAAGTGCTCGTGGTGTATATAGAGGTACGATGTCACTAAGATCCCTACAGCTTCGAAATGGGTTAACAACCTCACTACTGGAATTTTCACCTACCTTCTTACCATCACTCATCATTAATCTAATGTACTTTCGTTATAGTAGAAGAAGAAATATAAAATTGTGTGATACAAAGAAAAGCTAGAATTGTTAAATATCTATCTTACGACAAAATAAACCCAGTAAGATGAAAACCATTCAGTAGAGAGGTTGTGTATCCATTCGAAATAACTAAAAATCTTTCTCAGATCTGAAAGATTCCTCTTCTTCACTTCACCGTTTAATATCGTTTCATTCACCACGATTCAAATCACTTTTGCCGAATAACTTTCCGTTTACCGATTAAATTTCATTCACGAGAACGACTTTAATCCATCGTTTAGGTTCTGTCAAGCTCAACCGATTTAACACTGTAAATATAAAGAGAAGTCCAAAATACACACGAAGCGTCATGATAGTACATCCGCGGTTGAGTCCAAAATCATTATGTGTTGCATATACGCAGAGAACGCCATCTATGGAATTTTGGTTAATCAAATGAAATTTATTTATTATTATTAATTTTTTGTTTCAAAGAATTAAATTGTTTAAAAATTTGCAGATTTAAAATAAAGTAATTTAATTAAAGTATATTGTAAAAAATATAACATTATACATTCCATCTATAGTCACGCGCTACGATTCTAAGGAGAAGGAAAGAAAATACTGGAAAAAAGACAGAGATAAATTAAAAATTGTGAAATCAACGCCATCTCTTGAGTGCCGCAAATGAAACAAATATAGACAAGGAGAGTAAATAATAAGAGAAAGATAAAAATAGATAAGGAATTAACTTCTATCGCCATCTCTTGAATATTAAAAATATTATAGTAATATTTTAAAATAAACTTATTCAAGAGATGGCGCTGATGATCAAATCTTATCTTTATCTTACCAGCAAGCATATCTTGAAGAAATAAGTCTAGTTCTTAAGAGATGGCGATAAAAGTCAATTCTTTTTCCGTCTTTTTCTCATTATTTGCTATCCTTTCTTTTTAAGTTTCATTTGCAGCACTCTGAAGATGGCGTTGATTTCAATATTTTTAGATTTTCTCTATCCTTTTCTCACTACTTGTTCTCTTTGTCTGTATTTCACAAAATTTGCATTCAAGAAACAGCATCGATATCTAATTATCTTTATTTTCTTTTTCTTTTCTTTCTTCGTCTTTTTTATCTAATGTATTAATCAAAATATTTTAACACACTTCAGATATTTTTATTTTCATTATAATAAAAAATACACGCATAATTCATAAATAATTCACACATGATCCGTCTATTATTTGTAATAGTCAAATGTCTATACAATCCAATATATATAATATACAACAATATTTAATTGAAAGGATATATTAAAGAAATTATTTTGCAACTTTTATTTTTTCAATTTTTGTTAATCAATGTTTTGTTGATTAAATATAATTCCAACGCTTTTATTTATCGCGCAATCGGTATTTCAGAACATAGGATACAAAGTTTCATAAGATGATAAATCTATTTTGTATTTCGTTCATGGTTTTATTAGCTACATCGAGCGCCATTTGTTTGGACGCTTAATTTTTGGCCAACTGCATTGTGAAAGTGCCGCGAATAGTTATATTGCATAGAGAAAAGTGACGCGTTTTTTATTCACAGAAGCATGCGGATGTGATTATGCAAAAAGAATAAATCGTAATAGGAAAATAGCAGGACCACAATGCGTGAAAAATTGTACACGCCAAATTATTATCATAATCCGATTAATTGCTTACAATTTATGTAAAATTCGCGTTATTTTACAGTCGAAAAACTTGGAGGATTGATTGTTAATTTACGAAGAAAGCAAAAATAGAAAGGAGCACAATGTCTTTGAGCGCGAGTGCAGAAAATTTATCATCGGAAGGGCAAGTAAGTGAACCATATTAAATGCTATGCTTTTCTATGCGTGACTCATACTGTTCTATTATTACATTATTACATGATTAATTTATTTTTATTTATTTCATTTTTTATTATGTTTATCATACTTATTTATCGATATATAATTTTATAAAAATTTTTGTAAACAGTTAACATATATTGAGAAAAAAATATTAGATATGAATGTTTTTTATTAATGTGCTTATTAATTACTAATTAATGCATTAATTAATCATTTTTATAATTTCTTATTTATTTTAATTTATTATTCATTTGAAATTATTGATAAATTTAAATTATTAATATAAACTCTATAATCAATTTATTACAGTTGCATGTTCAGCCACTCCCATAATCATTTCATATTCTTTTCACATTTTTTTTTTTTTAAAGAAAGCATATTGTAATTATACATTAAACATTTTATAATTGTTTTTCTTGTTGAATTGAAATATTTTTACTGATTATTCATAATTTCATTATATAATAAATAATTGTTTTAAACGAAATTTCTTATATTTGACAGAATAGTGAAAGGTGGAACATGTGCCTTGAATTGGCGCTTGAGGGTGAGCGTCTGTGTAAGGCTGGAGATTGCAAATCTGGAGTAGCATTTTTTCAAGCTGCAATTCAAGCAGGCACAGATGACTTAAGAATCTTAAGTGCAATTTACAGCCAATTAGGAAATGCTTATTTTTATCTTGGAGATTATGTGAAAGCAATGCAATATCATAAATTGGATTTGACACTTGCACGTAATATGGGAGATAAGTTAGGGGAAGCTAAATCCAGTGGAAACTTAGGCAATACTTTAAAAGTTATGGGAAAGTTTGATGAAGCTATGATTTGTTGCAAAAGACACTTGGAAATTTCAAGAGAAATTGGAGATAAGGTGTGTCTCATAAAATCATTTCTTATAAATTTACCCAATGTTATTTAAATATTAAACAAAAAATTTCTTTCATAGCTTAGTGAAGGAAGAGCTTTGTATAACTTAGGAAATGTTTATCATGCTAAAGGCAAACAAGCTGGTAGAGTAGGTCATCAAGATCCTGGGGAATTTTCTGAAGATGTCAGACAATGCTTACAACAAGCGGTGCACTATTATGAGTAAGAAGATATAAATATAAATATTGTTAAAGATAGAAAATATAGAATATACATTATATAAACTATGTGAATGCTTTTTATAGAGAAAATTTAGAATTAATGAAAGAATTAGAAGATTCTGCTGCTCAAGGTAGAGCTTGTGGAAATTTAGGGAATACATTTTATCTCCTTGGTGATTTTCAACAAGCAATTTATTATCATAATGAAAGATTAAAAATTGCTAGAGAATTTGGTGATAAAGCTGCTGAAAGAAGAGCAAATAGTAATTTAGGAAATTCTCATATATTTCTTGGTGAATTTGAAAAAGCTGCACAACATTATAAGTATGTATTTATATTAAATTTCTTTTTTCCATCAATATCTAAGAAAATATATATATATATTATAACATATATTATTATATATTATAGGAGAACTTTAGTCCTTGCACAAGAATTAGGAGATAGAGAAGTAGAAGCACAAGCATGCTATTCTTTAGGAAATACATATACTTTGCTCAGAGATTATCCAACTGCAATAGAATACCATTTGTGGCATCTTGAAATAGCACAACAGCTTAAAGATCGAGTAGGTGAAGGTCGTGCCTGCTGGTCTTTGGGCAATGCATATGCAGCAATGGGTAATCATGAGAAAGCACTACACTATGCTAATTTACATCTAAATATCTCCAAAGAATTGGAAGATCCAATGGGACAAGCTACTGCACAAATGAATGTTGATGATTTGCAAAAAATTTTGGGTTTGGAAAAAGGACAACAAGAGAATAATAAAGAAAATATTGCACAAAAATTATTGACCAATACAGGATCAAATATTAATATATCATCACCATGTAGATACAGACTTAGACGACAAAGTATGGATAATTTAGATCTCATTAAGGTAACTTAATTATTTAATATTTAATTTTGTATCTTCCATATTTTGAATTTTAAATTATTTATTTAAATTACAAATCATTCACGAAAATCATTTATTTAGCTTACACCAGATGCAAAATTAAAAGAGCAAGCTGAATCTCAAATAGATAAAAGTAATAACGCGACACCGCAAATTACTCAAAAAGAAGAAGATAGTTTCTTTGATCTTCTCTCTCGTTTTCAATCTGGTAGAATGGATGATCAACGCTGTGCATTAAATATAAATCGCAATCAGAAGTTTAAAACTATAACACCTGAAGATGATAAGTATGTAATTTTATGGAAAAGTTACTTTTTTTTTAATAATAATAACAAATATTAAAATAATTATTTTATTTTTAGAGATGGAGAAGATTTATTAGAACTCATTGCTGGCATGCAGAGTAAAAGAATGGATGAACAACGAGTGACATTGCCTTATTTACCTGGCCTAAATAGTAATCAAGATTCTGATGATTCCTTTATCGAAATGCTAGTTAAATGCCAAGTATATATTATATATCTATTTTTTGCTTTAATTTTATTTTACTACACATTAAATAAATTGCGCGTGTATAGGGTTCACGTTTAGAAGACCAACGAAGTCCTTTACCAGTGGCATCAACGGTGCATGATGCCGAAGAGGAACACAACCAAAGATCTAATGGGACTACTCAAGCAGGATCGACAGTTCCTGAGGAAGATCTTTTTGCTTTAATACAAAGACTTCAGGCTGGACGAATGGAAGATCAAAGAGCTTCTGGTCCTGGCAAGACTTATTAAAGCATTAATATATAATTGTGAAAAATTTTATGATAATTAGCTTGCTTGAAATTCTACAACTCGTTCCATACAATTTCTCTTTGTCTTTTTCTGTGACAAGGTTCAGTGCTTAATTTGTGCATTCCACTCACAGCCTATGAAATCATTATATGATTCAGACTTTAGAAAACTGCAAGGTACTATTATACCGTCCACTGATATTTGTTCTCCATCTTATATTTACAACAAGATAACAATATTGCATTGTTGCAAGCATAACATACTTTACATATTTTATTAAACTTAAAAATTTTCTCTTTTTTAACTGATATTCCATGACATGGTGCCAAAATCTGTACATACAAACGTATATTAATCGTGCAATCAATCAGAATGTATTGCACGATATTAAATAGAAAATAATTTTATATTCTTAAAATAGAAGATTATTTGTTTTATAGTGGCAATTAGAAAATGATCAAATAATTCAAGACAAAAAAAAAAAAACTTATGACATTGTAAACACTGCCAGGTTGAGGATATGAGTCATACAAATATATTTCAGAAGAAAATGTTACATTATAAGCACGGAAGATTTATCAATCCTGGCAATTTTTTTTTTTTTTTTTTTTTATGTTCGATAATGTATAATCTATTTATTTGCTGATCATTTCCGTGAATTGTGAAGGTGGTAAATAATGAGATTGGTGCCAAACATAATTGATTTGTTAAGATCTAAATATAGAATGTAAAAAAACGAAAGAAGAAATTGTTGTTTATCTATTTTTCTGCATTTATATTCTCTCTATTATATGTTGATGAAATATACATGAATAGTAATACGTATAATAATTTTAAATCGACGTTACCCCTTATTTTAATTACGATATTAGTTTCCGTCGTTCATTTATACTTTATACATTCCAAATGTAAATTAATTGTAAAATCTGTGGATATAGACTGGATCAATCATGATCATCCTTAATTCAATAGTACCTAACTAAAAATTCTATATTGATATTATTCCAAAGGACTAAAATTCTCAAAGGATATCTTAATTATATATATATAAATATATATATAAGAGAATTCGATTTATAGGAATTCTCAAACTTAATAATTTGATACAATACGCTGTATCGTATGATCTCCGTGTGTTCTACAAATCTTGAAAAGATAAGTAGTTGGATAATACGTTCAAAAGTGGAACGTATTCAACATTCCATTACATAATCCATTGTATTTATAATCGTTAAGATATCTTACCGATAAATAATTTAAATTAATGTAAATCTTATACGTTGTTTATCTCTGAATGCGATGAGAAGACGCTTTGGTAAATTTTTAAATGAAAAAAAATAAGAAAAAATGAAACAATGCCTTAGTAAATTTATGCAATTCTATCGACCTACAATGCATATATACGTGTATGTGCATTTCGAGGCTAAAACGTTTCACGCCTACATATTATACTTATGTACTAAAATCTAAAACTAATTGTAATATTGACTATAAGATTAAACCGAGCCTGTCAAATGATATAATATAAAGCCATATTTGAGTATTGTTAGTAGAAAGATATTATTGATATCTTGGAAAAAGAAAAACGAAGAATTAATTGTAATTCGTGTATGTACGAATTGTAGTATTATTTTTCTTGTTGTTAAGAAAATTGTGTAACTATGTAAATCTGAAATGAAAAATTTGTTAAAAAAAAAAAAAAAAATAATCGTTCTAATGGCTTAAATGTACAAGAAGCTCATCTCGTTAATTATTGAAAGGATCGAAATAAATATTGATTCATTATTCAGTTTTATATAACTAAAGATAATACTATTTTTTTGTAAACGTTAAATTTGTACCACATTCTATATCTTTAATACGTATTTAGTTTCATAAGGTTCGCGATAGCGTCGTAGCGAACTAGATACTAATAGGAGATAATATAGTTTCTTTAAACTGTAATATTTTTTATGGAGTCTGTTTACCGTAAATTCGCAACTCATCTTCATATAGCTATGTATAATACAAAGATTCAATAAATATGTATATATATATATATATACTTTTTCCACAAATTTTAATATTTAATTATTTCCTATGAACATTTTTATCTTTTTTTCACGTAAGACGACGATCGTCTTTTACTGAAAAGAAAAACATTTTCAAATATGTCTGAGATGTCCAGAAAAATTTCAGAAAGCATATTCGACGTCTCATCTACGGATGATTCTACGTTATGGTCAGAATGGAACGACGCAATGTTAAATAAGGAAAATTGGGCGTTTCCAAAAAGTAATTAATAAGGAAACTTTTCCTTCATATAAATCAATCCTTCATATAATTTGTTCTAGATGGACCGGACGGTTTGTTTCTCGACACACAAGTCGTGCAATTACCTTTATCTTTGACATGTCATGAATGGATCAGAGCAAAGAATTTAGACAATTTGACTGTACGTTCAACGTTAAAAATTAATTTTACATTATAAATTTATATTGTACAATACAATTCTACAATGTGAAGGTGTAACTTGAATTTAGGAACCATTGACAGTAGTTGACAACAATTTAAAGTACTCAGACTTCATCATTAACAACAAACACTTATTGCACAGCCAGGTAATCTAAATAATCTGAAATTGTAACTCTTTCGAAAGTTAGAAAAAAATATTCCATTTTTTGTCACATGTTAAAATTATCCAAAAAAAAATGGAGTATAATATTGAGAATAAGTCAAATCAACGGTCCACGATCCACGTTGAAAAATCATAGAACAAATTGATCCATCCGCAATAGAACGGATCAAGAAATTTTAGGAATTGAACGCGATTCAATTAAAGAACGACTTTCAGTTCATGCGATGGTTTATTTCCACGATAATAAATCTCCAGTACTGCGGCAGAAATGGATTGGAAATAAGTGACGAGAGCAACAATTTCCTTTGGATTGGACGGAACCAACCTTGGCAAGGTTGGATGAATGTATATTCGATGAACAAAGCTGGAAAGGGGGTGCTGCAACATCGCCCCGTCATGAATCCAAATGGTACGTTCTGTTTTATTAATCATCCCCCTCTCTTTTTTTTCTATTTCTTTCCTTTTCTCATTGAATTATCAAATTATCGGTGTAATTTACCATGTGTTGTAATAATTCAATTAAATCGATCCTTTCGAGAAGCGTATTCTTTATTCGTTCGAATAAAGAAAATCTCTCTCGCTCTCTCTCTCTC